TGAACATTAGACGATAAAATTTTGTTTTCGTCAAGTTCTGCATATTTTTCATCATGCTATGCTCTTTTGTTTACATTTTCATGGGTGAGTTGTTCCCCTTTCATTCTCACGATGTGTCTTAATCGCGTTTCAAATTGATTTTATTAAAAAACAATTGTGTTTTTCCCATTTTCGGCCCCGTTAGAACCACCAAAAGGTAATTTTATGTAGTCCTGTGAAGTTTTGTTGAAATCGGCTAAAAAATGTAGGAAATTCGATCCAACATATAAACGTTACAGACACACACACACAACCTGCGTTTTATAATAAGTAAGATATATATATATATATATACATATATATTCATCCACAGACAGACTGTCTCGCTGTATCACAGCTCTTCAGTGTGGCTAGATGTCCGATTGCTGCAAGATGAGATCAAAACTCGACCAATTTGGCATCAGTCAAAGATCTTACCCCTAAGCTGTCAGTGCACAGCAGAGAGAAAGGGAAATTTTAATGTTTTCTAAACAAAATATGCCAGTAGCCAGGAGGGCTGAATTCTTAATTGAAGAGCAATGCATTAATAGCAGCAGCCACTGTTTTTGAAATTACCCTTTTCTCCAGAGAGCTCTATCGGATATATATATATATATATATATATATATATATATATATATATATATATATATGAATAAAAAGAAAGAACAGTAAGATATAAAATAGATAAGTGTTCTTATAGATATTTTTATTTTTACAAAATAGTGCTCAATGTAAATTTACAGAGCATTAATATTATAAATTAATTGATTTAAAATATGTTTTTTAGCTACATTTTCCAACCATGTTTCAAAAACAGAAGCTAAAAACCCTGAATTTAATTTTGCAATTAAATTAAAAGCATTAATGCTTATTTTTGAAACATGGTTGGAATTGTGTAGCGAAAAAAAAACCCTATTTTAAATCAATTGATTTATAATATATATATATATATATATATATATATATATATATATATATTATTAGGTCAGTAGACAAAATAGAACCAAAAAAAGAAAAATGTTTGAAAATGCATTTTTCGGACATGTCTATGGCCTTTTCCAAGAAAGAACAAATATTTTGTTACTTTTATCTCTGTTTTTAACTGGTTAGTTCTCAAGTCCTCTTTAGGTAAATACAGCATCCAGTAAACAGTTATTTTGTGTCTGAAAAAAAAACTGGAGAACATACTTATAGCTACAAAGATGAGAATAAGAATTCAAAGACATCATTGAATGATGATAATATCTCAGAATCTTTGACAGTTTCTAAATTATTCATACTGTTTTTTTTTAACCAATTTGCCCCAAAACACTTAAGATGCAAAGGGTTGTTGGGAGTAAAAGAGAATGAGAGGGCTGACATTTGATTAAAAGTTGCAATATATACAACATGTAACAATAATATATCTTTTAATTAAGTGTCAACCGTCATCTTATAACCTCTCCAATAAGTGTTACAAGTCCAACACATGCACAATAACAGTTTTACTTAAAAATTATTTTATTTTTTAACAAAAAGTCTAACTTCAGTTTCTTTTTCATTGTAAAAGGACAGAGTGTCTGAAAATTCTGATTTTAAACATTTTCCTCATTGTGCCTCTATTTTGTTTACTGGCCTAAAATATATAATAAATAATAATAATAATAATACTTCCTTTTTTAGAATTTTTTCATTGACCCTCTCTCTCTCTCACGCTCTCTCTCTATTATATATATATATATATATATATATATATTTAAAGACATTTTTATGTTTAACATTCTTTTTATAGATACAAGTATTTTAGTAAATGCTCTGTTTATAATAAACAGCAATAAATAACATTTACCGGCCTGAATGTCCGAGAAATCTTTATAGAAAATATTCGTCCTTTGACAGGATTCGAACCTGCATCATATACAGAACTGTCATTTAGCTTGACGTGCCTAATCACTCGGCCACAAAGGATCGTTCGATTGGCAAGGTCGAATTTACTGCTTATAAACTTCAATCTTCCCTGAATCTCTCACGTACATTCATAACTGCTCATGGCGTATCAAATGTAAACAAATGACGTATAGAATGCAGGTTCGAATCCTGTCAAAGGACGAATTTATCTATAAAAAGAATGTTAAACATAAAAATGTCTTTAAATAATTGTTGGACTTTGTCCATTTCATGATGTATGACATCATAGAGAATCAACTTTTCTTTCAATTTATTTTTTCCAGGTAAAGTTAAACCTAAGAAGAAATCTTATAAAATTAGCAAACATTGAAAAGAATTTATTAGTCTGAGCCTTAGCTCCTGTCATTTTAAAAATAAAAAAAAAACCTTTGTAAATAGAACCATATTTTCAGGCATTCTGGTTTTGTGGGTTATTATGACTATGACGACTACTACTGCCACCATAGTCTCCACCACTTCCATTACATTTTCTTGCTAACACATTATAATCAAATCAACACAGCCTGTATAACAACACTACATATTGTTATTTAAACATCTTGATTGGCATTTATTTAAACATCTTGATTGGCATTTAGTTTATCACAGATAATAAAAGGGAAAATCTAAAATGATTATAATTTCTACTTCCAAAACGAAACTACTTTCATTTAACAACCATAGAAAAACTTCCCTGCCTCCTATCAGCATGGCTGATGCTCAACTTCACAAGAGTGTCTCACTGCACCTTCTTGGTCTCACATTTACCACTGACTTAAAGTGGAACAACTACATCTATTGCAAGAAATGTTGATTCTCTGTGCCATGCCAGATGGATTTTCTCATCTGAATCCATCCTTCATATCTACAAATCTACCATTTGTCCTTGCATTGAATACTGTTACCATATATGGTCTGGTGTCCCAGCTGTTAATCTCAAGGTTCTTGACAAAATCCAAAGACGGATATACAATGTGATCGGTTTTGATTTGGCATCTCCACTCCAGTCACTTCCTCACAGATGTGATGTGGCTTCCCTCTATCTTTTCTACAAAAGGTTATGGGTTATTTACAGCTTCATGTTTCATTTATGACAAAGAACATTGGGAAACAGCCTTCGAGTGACCCTTATTGGCCCTCTTACATACCTTTATAGGAGCTGCAACAAATTTTTTCAGAGTTTGATGATATCTTCCAATTATTTTGCAAATTTCTAATGTAGATTTACCTTTGGAAAGTTCTGATGTTACAATATCTTTCTCAGAAGGGGTGAAGAGGTCACATTTGCAACCCATAATTGCACGATTATAATGACACTCGTTTATTGTCTGGAACACTTCCATATTGTGCTAATATTGCAAATTGCCACCATTTGTTTCCTATTACACAGAACAATATAGTTTTTATACAGCCTGTGCATATACCTATTCCCATTATACTGTGAAAATTTTCTTAAATCCCAATTGCTAGTTTTTGGACAAAATGAAAAATGTCACCTCATTAATAATTTAAAACACAGTGTATATATTTTTTCACATTTATTTTAAACTATATTAAATATTTTCTATTTTGAATACACAAATTAATACAATTTTAGCAAAACTGTTAAAGATGAAGAATCAATAACATTGATGAAATGCATTTTTCCTGTTTTGACACACAAGCGATAGTTTTCCAATCCCTGGTCTAGAAAAATGCTAAATGGGAAGATGTGACAGCAAAATCTGAAATGTGTTTTATACAGATAGTTTATGCTATCTTAAATATGAATGAATTCATTAAGTTATTATGATTTAGACATAAAGATACTATGTTACTTATTTACTGTGATATTATACTAATATAATAATTCACTGACTGTTAATCTTTATCATTCTGTATTTGACTTAATTTGCTGTACACAAAGTTTATCCTGCTACTGAAGATCCCTGAACAATAGCGTGTTTAAATTTCATAGATGTGTTGTCATATCCTGCTATGGCAACAGAAAACAACTTTGAGTGAAATTAATAATAAGGATAATGCAATTGAGAGGCCTTGAAAAAATACAGTAGAAAGGGAAGTAATATTATTAATGCAATGTGCTAAAGGTTAATAACAACACTGTAAATGATTCCTATGCAAAAGAAAAAAAAATACTATTATTATTAATAGTGTGGTGGCAAATAAAATAACTTTATTTAGCAAAGACACATTTAAAATTCTGTGCTTTTAATTTAATATTGTTAAACAAAATACTCAAAGTTTTCTGTCAAAATAATTTTACACCTTTTCTTTTCTCTAATGGAGAAAACTGGAAAAATTTATCAAAACATTTTAAAAATGAACAAAATAAAACAATGGGCACATATATACTTCTAAAATCATAAATTATTCTTTCTCTTATAGATAATCTATTATTCACACTTTTACTGCTGCATTGTAATAGCATTGTTGCCTGGCTGTGTTGGCCCACTTTGAGAAAAAAGGAAATTACTATTTACTAAAAATGACTATAAAGATGCTGACATCAATTTCTCCCGGGTGCTACAATTTTGGTTATGGCTGGTTAATCAATAATACAGACTAATGTAAATGACACTCCCAATATGCAATATAATAAACATGTCCCAAAACAGGTCATATTCTACTTTTTTTCTATCATTTTACTCCAAGCAAGACAATAAAGCTACTAAGATGCAAATAGGTTACTAAGAGTGAAAGAATTTGAGAGAATATTTTTGAGGAGAGAGGACTTAAATTTGCACCAATAGAACCATCATGTTTACACATCAACATGAACTATAATTTTAAAAATAATGTTAGCTATAAAGAAAAGAGCTACTATATGTTCTGTAATGAAATTTTCTACTGTATATCACTACAACAACTATAGAAGCACAAACCATCCCATTTGACAAAACATTAATGATATTGATTATGTCAGAAGACTAACATTTCAAGACACAACATGCAGATGATGAAACAAACAAATAATAATATCACAGATAATAAAAGGGAAAATCTAAAATGATTATAATTTCTACTTCCAGGTTTATCTAAAGAAAATTAACCTTTTAAGTATCCATGGTTGATTTGCACATGTAAGAGCCATACGAATGTCAAAATTTTCAGAAGCATCTCCAGTTTCAAGACGCTGATTCAGGAATTCACAATCTCTTCTGTTTCCTTCTCTGATTCCAGCACAAAGTATAATAAATCGGTAATTTGGGTTGATGCTGCAAAATAGAAAAAATATGGGTAGTGCAAAATAATAGGCATTGATGAAATTAAGTAAAATTAAATAAATATATTGGGTTTGATTCAAAATTAGACATTATAATAAAAAAAACAAGGGTCTCATTTTTTCCCTTTATTTTTTACCTGAATTTTATCAGACAAGGTGTTTTAATCATTGTATGTGGTCTGTTTGAATTAATTTTCTAATCATCTTTGTTTGCTTTTATCACAAAATCTGGCTAGAGAAAAATGTAACAAAAATCATGGCAGATTATCATTATTATGCAAACTGCATCCGAGTTAAGTATATATATATATATATATATATATATATATATGAAGAAATATAGTTTTAAGTTGTGCTATATTTATGGGATAAAGTGCTCAATATCACAGGTAGAGCGTATGTAAAATATTAAAATAAAAATGAACATTGAAGGTGGCCTGACAATTGTGCCTAGCATGAAACAGCCTGTCGCCTCTGAGTGTTGACTTCAATGCCCACTTTTATATATATAAACATTTGGCCAACATTTTTGTGGGCTTTTATGAGTTGTCCCTCCTCACCTATGACAACGCACCGTCTATGTACCGTCGGTATGTGGACGATACATTTTGTCATTTTAATAGTGAAGCGGAAGCTGATTCCTTTTTCAGTTATGAGCCAACTTCATCCATCTTTAAAATTTACCATCGAAAAGGAGTCTAATTCCTGTCTCTCTTTTCTTGATGTCCTTGTGCATCGGACTCCTTCTCAATTTCTTACTTCGATGTTTCGCAAACCAACGTTTTCTGGTTTGTATACATGTTGGGACTCATTTTCTCATAGGGCCTTGATGATTTGCAGTATACAATATTTGGATGAAGAATTGGATTTTATCCGCTGCACTCTATTAAAAAATGGATATCCTAGTGATACTCTTGACAGTGTCATGCGTGATAAAATTATTAATTTTCAAAAGGAAAAACAATACTTAGTTCAGAAATGTCCTATTTACTTGCAGCTTCCTTTTATTGGTTCCCAGGGCGAGCTTGTGGCTAGGCGGGTCTTGTCTGCTGTCCATCACTGCTATTTCTCTGCTCAGCTAAGAATTCATTTTGCGAGTCATTCTGCCTTTTCCTCTATCTGTAAGGATCCTCTTCCTCCCCATCATGTTTCTTCCATGATTTATTCTTTTAAATGTGGTTGCGGTAGCAACTACATAGGAAGGACTTCCCAACGTTTAGATTTTAGGATCAGGTAGCATGTCCCATTGCGAGTTCTTAATCCGGATGCCCGTAAGAGCCAGTTGGTTAATACTTCCAGGTCAGCGATCACTAAACATTTGATAAATTGCAGGGATTGTGCAAAGAACTTCAGTCTGAATTGGTTTACTGTACTGTCCAGTTCGCACTCTCCATTTCATTTGAGGGCACTTGAGTCTCTGTATATTCAGTCCAGGGAGCCGTCTCTTTGCAAGCAAAAAGACTGTCTCCTTGGGCTTCACGTTATTAGACTCTAGTGTTTATCATATATTCCCCTCACACTCCCCATTTTTTTTTTCCCTTTGTTCTGTGCATTTTTGTGTGGTTTGAAATATACCTTTTTCCACCCAACTCATACCATTAATTCATTTCATTTTTAATGTTTTAATTGTATGTAGGGTGTTTGTGCAAGTCAATATATATTGCAATAATTCTTAAATTGTTCCCAGTCGACCCTGATGAGCTTGGGAACGAAACTGGTTTGTCTGTTCTGTAAGTGTTATCATCTCTTATTGTTTATTTTTCATAATGCCTTTAGGAAATAATTTGTATCTATTCCTTGCAATATTACAGTTCTGTACCTCCAACAATTTATATATTTTAATCATTTCACCCCAAAGCAAGGACAGTGCTACTAGTATGCAGGAGGTGACAGAGAGTGAAAGTGAGAAATAAGATTAGGTATAGTTAGGATTGAGGGAAGGATAAAAGATGAACAGGGTTCAACTCAACAGAAGATAGCGGTTGACATTGCATTTAAATTTTTGAAGATCATACTTATCAGCGAAGCAAGTAAGCGGAAAGGAGTTCCACTGTCAAGAAGTGTGAAAAAAGAAACTGTTGGAGTAGAAGTGGCAGTTATATTTAACTATTTCAACAGTAAAAGGGTGAGACCTAGATGCCAATCTAGTAGCACACTTAAATTCATGTAGTCAGGGCACCAGGGGAAAAATATACATGTATATTAAATAAAATAAGCAACTCCTAAGAGAGTCTGCTACAGGGGCATACCAGAGAAAGAGAGCTCAATGCCATATGACAGAGCTTTAATGTTACTAATTCCTGGAGATCAGTGGCTGACCACAAATAAGTTTTATGAATTCACACACAATCATCAGGTGATTGGCCTGTGTGTGAGAACACCTAAAATTTTAGTTGTGGTTGGCCACTGTTCACAGGAATTTATATATATATATATATATATATATATATATATATATATATATATATATAATATATAGGTTCAGAATATATCTATAAAGGACAATATGTTTTCCTTTTGTCTATATATATATATATATATATATATATATATATATATATATATATATATATATATAGGTGTAAAATTTCAGAATATATCTATAAAGGGACAATATGTTTTCCTTTTCTCTCTCTCTATATATATATATATATATATATATATTCCCTTTAAAAAATATAAAATGAGCCAATCATGAACATTGCCACCAAAGAAAAAACATGAAAACAAAAAGGAGGAGTTCATGATCCACCATATTTGCTTTTAAGAACACCGCTGATAATAAGTGAAAGAGAATGCCAGCTAATGAGCAAGCTTCAACAAATCCACCAATGGCAAACTTTCCGTGTCACCCTCAGTGATCTTGGTCACAGACATGACCCATGCATCAACTCCAGGCCCTAATGATTCTACCTTTCCACCAAGTCATTTACCTTGCCCACAAAGACAAAGAGACATTCTGCTCACATCCTCTGTATCAGCAATAAAAAGAATTATATAATTTTATAAATTTTTGTCTTCTGTTCCTTTTGCCCAACTGGCAGTACTTATTTCATTTGTTCTCTCATGCTACTATACACGTGTTTATAACATGATGATGGCAGAAAATGTTAATGTAAAAATCTTTGAGAATATTGCTGGATCTGGTTCATCCTTCTCATTCATATGACATCTAACTCATGTTATCAGTGTCTTCTTAAAATTGTCTCCTCCTACCCACTGCACAGAATACTTGACTTCTCATTGAACTTTGAACAAGATCTTTCTCTTAGGCCATACCTATAAACGCTGAAGTTCATTACTTCTTCCTTATTGGTTAACAAATTAACTCTTCTTCTATGTGCCATATTCCTTCAAGATGTAGGCAATCATGGCTCACCACAAATTCCTACTCTTTATAGCCTTTAGCAAATTTTGTCTTTTTGCTATCTCTCTTAATCCCTGTTCTGCCAACCATTTACACAATATCATTAGGTAGGTTACACATTACATTCCTTTTTCCCTATAGCCTTCAATATATCCTGTGAGTATCAAATTTTTTAAGTTCTCTTTCCTTATTATGTGCCCTAGAAATGCCAATTGTCTCTTTCTGATCCTAAGTAGAAATGGCCTTTTTATGCTAAGTAGAAATGTTGTTTTTGTTTTCATTTTCTCTGAAACTTTGTCGTTTCCCACATGTGCAATCTATGATATTCCCAGCATCCTTCTGTAGAACCACATTTCTGTTGCCTCAAGTCTCTTCCCTATCTGTGATGAGATTATCCTGCATTCACTAATATATGGGTACTGATATTTACATGACTTTGTTTCTAATGAAATTTTCTTGTTTCTTAATACTTTGCTTAACTTTTGGAAGGCATCTTTTGCTATTCCATTGTGCATTCAAATTTTGGTGTCACATTTTCCATTTGTAAAAATCATTTTCTAGATATTTAAATTTTTGAACATGCTTGATTTTGGTGTCTCCAATTTGTAGTTCACATCTTGGGTTGTCCCTTTTGCTAACAACCATATATTCGGTCTTCTTATAATTGATGTTTAATCCTTTCTTATCACTTTCCTTTATTACTTTTTGTAGGAGTTCCTGTAGTTTCCTTTCTGTTAACAACATGGTGTCATCAGTATATCTAATGTTAAGACTGTGGCTACCAATAATGATTCCTAATTCTCTCAACAGATTAATACCCCCCATAAGAAGTGGTAGGTAGTAATTATAAAAATAAAAATGTGGTATTAATTATAGATTTGTAATCGTTAGTGGCTGGCTTTCCATTTTTGAACAGTGTGCATAAATGGGTTAATGATTCCCACAATCTATTAATGTCTAATTTGTAAAACGCATTTTATTAGTAATGCTGCTATCTACTGGTATGTGCAGGTGGTATAATTGATATTGGCTTGGAATGAAAAATTAGTGGACCAAGTTTGAATTCCAGTCAAGTTCATACCATTTACTTATAGGCAAATACTCTTGAAAAAGAGATATGAATCTTTATCTTTTCCCCCAAACTATAGGTTGAATATCAGAATAGACTGGGTCCTATAGACTTGGTTGCCATCTAGTCTATCACAGAAAAAAACAGCAACCTACTGCAGGAAAATTTTCTGCCTAGTCTGCCATGAATTGAAAGAGACATGATCACCTAAGTGTGTATCACATATGACTTATCTACTGGTATTCTGCCTTACAAAAAAATTTTTTTGTATTTCATGGATTCAAGTAAAATAAACATTCTGAAATTCAGCTTTTTTTTTTTAACTGCCTTTCTGATCAATGTTCACCAAGTTTGGTTTGGTTTGTTTAATAGCATATCAAGTCCCTATGGGTCATTTAATACTGAAATTTAATTTCCTTAGGAGCTTTGTTAAATTTTCTTTTTCTATTAAAATCTATTGATGGAAATTTTTGCTATAAAATGTATGTACTTTCATAGAATTTTAACCTCAGTTTTAGGGTTCATTATTTGTCCATAGCTGGGACCCTAACAGGTGCTACCACCCTGAGGCATGGTGGACCTGGGAACAATAGCAATTAATTCCACACTCCTCAAAATCTCCTGATCAGAGGACTTGCTGTCAGATGTAGTTTATCATCATAATCAGGAAGATATTCAAATTTTAAGAATTTCAGGCAAATTCTCAAAGCATATGAGCATTTAAATGAAATAAGAAAATAAAAAGTCAACGGTAATAATCATTTCCTTTTATAAACTAAGAATTACAGGTTTAAAAATATTTTGATTTTTCACAATGATATATTGATTTCACTCCATATGAGAATGCCTGCAAAACTTATCCCATTCCTCTTTTATAGGCAGATGTCCATAAATTCATGCTGGAATATTTTTCTTAGCCAGTAAAATAGGTCAGCTTACAATTTGACTTGATTCAGTCCAGATCTTCCAATTCAGGTGGTTCACGCTCACTTGTCAAACTCTCTGTCTTCAGGCAGAGAGGAACCCAGACTAGGCTATACTGAAGGGCAGAGTCAGATCTGGTGAGGTAACAAGCCCAACCTCGTGTATACGGGGTCTACGGGGAATTTTTGCCAAACCCTACAAACTCGGATTTGTTCCACATAAAAAACGGCCTTGTGCCACATCCTGCCTTGTGGGGAGGCGAGGTAAATAAACCCAGTCCAGATCTGTATGATCTCAAAGAGAAACCACTGTATTCACTTGTCTGACCTTGCTTTTGTGTGTAGACGACAATTTGTAGTTTGTAAACTTTTTACCTGTGAATTTGCTTTTGTATATATTTTTTAATTGTTTGATATTATTTCATTTTTGACCATTTTTCTTTTTGTTGCAAACTTTGCCAAATCGGTTTGTTGGACTGTTCTGTTATATCTTTTTGCATTTGACCATGGCTACTAAATCATCAAATGCGAAGCTAATGATTGCAAATTATTAATTAGTAAAATCATTTTTATTTCTATCTCCAACAATTAACCTTTTACTATTTTACTACTTTAAGAATTGCAGAGTTATAATAACTTAATAAGGATATTTGAAGGGTTTTGATTTGAGCCAGTATATTTCTCTTTCTGGGACATTATAAATTTTACATTTACTATTGTGTGGGATTACCCCACCTTATCTGCCAAAACACCCACTAAAGATGAAGACAATGGCCAAAACGTGATAACAACAAAGATGGAGATTTTAGTCTGGAAGTAAATAATATTAATATTAATCATTCTCCATTTTATTAGTAATTTTCTATTACTAATAAAATTAGTAATTGAAGTAATTAGTAATTGAAGGTTGCATCAATCTAGAATGGGATAAAAGGTAACAATGATAGATTAAAACAATGAAAAAAGTAATACCAAAAGGTTACTTGTAAAAACAGAAAAGTCAAAACCTGTATTCGTCTGGGTTTTTCTTCCATCTGCGATATAGGTGAACTGCTTTGGAAATACAATGAGGATATTCCACATGACAGGCCAGATTGATAATTACTCCTTGGAGAATTCTACAAAAAACAAAATAATAATAATCATCATCATCATCAGAAGAAGAAGAATACTGATTATCATCACCACTTATTTTAACAACCACTACCATCAATATGGTCATCTTCAAATCTCATTTTAATATCCTAATGGTGAAGATTTCCCCCCACAAAAAAAACATGAATGTCACTGCTACTATTCATTTTATGCACAAAGTACTAACATATATAAACTGTAAAATTTCTTTTGTTAGCCACAAATTAATGATTAAATCTCAATTTATGCAAGAGAATCTGCATTCCATGTTTAAAGTTAAATTTCTAAAAAAATTTTCAGAAATCTGTGAAAAAAAGAAATATCCCATCAAGGTTATTTAAAAGCCTAGATAAAGTCTTATAGCCAAATTGTTTTCAAAAGGACATAGTATTTACATCTATTTTGAATTAACATTGAAACTTTCACCATGTCATAAAAACCTAAAAACAAAACTGCACCTTATTATAACACCTTATTTTCTATATATGATAACTGAACTTACTAGAAATGGTCTGTGAGATTGAAATGTTTGCAATCATTCTGCAGCATTAACCCTCTGAGGATATTATCTTATTTTGGCACAAGGCCATAATAAGGTGCTCGAGGAGAAGCAATGTCATTATACTAAAGAATCGTCTCATAGATTAAGATGAATTTCACATGTTTACATTGTATTTGTTTTTTAACTACATAAGTGTGTGTGTGTATATATATATATATATATATATATATATTGCGTGTGTGTGTGTTTGTGTATGCTGGTTAAAATTTACTATATTTAAGGGTAAAGAGCATGCATTATGAGAGAGAGCATCTGAAGATATAAAGTGTGAACACTGAAATCATGGAGCATTTGATTTGCAGCACTTGCAGTAGTGAGCTGTTTTTAAATTCCTATATATAATAACCTGAAAAACAGCCTTCTTTTCTTCTTATTTTTTTTTACTGACATTGATCATTACTTTTTTAGCCAATACTATCATAAATAACATTGTTGTGCTATTATGTATTAGTATTATTGTGTGTGTGTGTATGCATGTGTGTGAAGCATCTCCTCTACTTTGTACATATGTAGTTATATCAAAATGAACATCAGTTTAGTCCAATCAAGTCCTAGAGAATGAAATACACTCAAAAACTTTTTCTACTTTGTCATAGATTTCTATTATACAGAGTGAGATGGATAAATTGTCATCTAAATTACACAAAAATGAAAATAACACTGACATCTCATTTTAACAGATATATTTACCAAAATTGGACAAAAATATCTTGAAATACTAAGAGTAAATTTATTCAATAAAATCGCCATTGGCTTCAACCACAGCCACCAGATGACTTCGGAATTTCCTGCAACTCTTCTGGATGCACTCCTTGTTTAAGTTGGTGAATGCTGTCATAATCCTTGCCTTCAGTTCATCTTTGGTGTTAGAAGCAGTTTTGTTAGTCTCTCGCTTAACTGTGCCCCACACATAATAATTAATGTGGTTACAGTCTGGGGAGTTAGGTAGCCATATGTCATAGATGATGTGGTTGCCAAAATTGTCTGACAACCATGACTGGGTTCTCCAGCTAGTGTTGCATGGTGCAGAGTTGACCCAGAGCAACACTACCTCCTCAAGGCATTTGATATAGGCCTCCAATGTTGAATCTGAGGCCTTGTTTGAAGATGAATGGAATCATAATGTTGCCATCACTAGTGATCACTCCAAACATCTTTGTGATCACCATTAGACTCATCCAATTCTTTCTGAATCCTCTGCACTGTCTTCAGATTGACCCCTAAACACACTGAAATATTTTTATTGGAACTTCTGGTGCAAATGCCAAGCAGTACAGCATGCCGTTTCCAAATTTCTGATAGAGTGAATTACATCATGGTGCTCTTTCTCTCACAGAAAGTGCCCATCTAACCCTACTATATTGTGCAGTTGACAAAATCAAAAACAAACAACACATTTGCATGAAATTAAAAATAGAAAACTGTTGAAATTTACCAATCACATCCTGTATATATATATATATATATATATGTGTGTGTGTGTGTTGAAAATAGGATATAGAAAGACAAAGTTTTTGAGAAATTTGACAAAAGGAAAATGTTTCATTGAAACTAGATTTGATTACACGTTTCACCATTCAATGTTTCCTCAGATCCAAAAATGAAAGAAAGATGAAGCCTAGAAAGGCGTAACCTGTAATCAAATCTAGTTTCAATGAAACATGTTCCTTTTGTCAAATATATATAAATAAAAGTTTTAAAAATTTAAAACCCCCCCCGGTAATTGGGGGAATATTATTACATAAGTTATGATGGCCAATCAAAACACACATATATGATAATTCAAATAACTTGACAGCGGATGCTAGATACAATTTATTAATTCTTTAATATAACTATCATGTTAGATTGGAAATCGGTATAAGTAATTAATTATTAATTTACTATGTATTTAAAGAATACTATTTATTTGATAAATTATTTTCTCAAGTAGCCAAACTCTGGGAAAACATTTTACGCGTGATGTCACTTATTCAATACCTAAATATATGAATTCAAAGAAAATGTCAGGTTGTAGCCAAGAAAATCTTGTCTACTACCACAGTGATAACATTCTTGATAATGCTTTTGACAATCAAACATACTCAGAACAAAACAGGAAATATGGACAATTTATCCTCAATTTTGATTTAAAAAAATAGACAAAAATCAGATATGCAGAGTGAGGCTCTAGAGCAGAATTTTCTGGAAGTTATTAGGTACAAAGTGATGGTATAAGAAAAAATAAAAGGTCCTCATCAATATTTATTTTTAAACCTGGTTGAAAAGTTGATATCATATTTCACTAACACCAAATACACAAAGGTAAACAAGATGAATAAAATGCTAAATGGATAGAGAGGAGATGCTCATCAGAGAAGTAGAATTGGTGAATTCTTACAGAGAAATGTTAAGTGAAAAGGCTTTTAGAAAAGTTCAAAAGACTGTCTCTTCATCCTTCAATCATGTCTTCTAAAATTCTTTCAATACTGAATAACCTGTCTTTGCTGATAGGATATAAAGTTATTTGATATTGTGTAAAGCGAATGTTTGAATTGTATAATTTTTTCGCACAGTAACCAGTTTATATAACTCAAGCAAAAAGTAGAGCAGAGATTACCAAGGTAAACACGAAGCTCCTTTTTCAGATCAGTGTACAATCAGGCCAGGTTTCTCAGGAGATAGTGAACCGCAACATATTTTTGTTTTCAAAAGTAAAAATGAACTTTTTATATTACAGTGAATTAGCATTAACATTTTTAAATTTTAGAATTATAAAATTACACAGAAAAA